ACACCCACACCCTAGCCATCTTTTATTAATCAAATATTAGAATACTAGAGTACAATTTCGTTGGGAATTTCAATAATCTTTCACACCTTGAAGATTAGGATGATTAGGAGGTAGCGAACGTTGCGCAATATTAAGTGCACGCTCGATATATGAAAATGCTCTTGGAAAGTTGCCCATAGTTGTATACACTAAACCAATATCGTAGTAGGACATAGCCAACGCAGGATGGTCTGGAGGAAGACTTTTTTGTCGAATTTCGAGTGATTTTTCAAGAGATGAAAGTGCTTTTGGATAGTCTCCGATATTTCGGTACGTCTTACCAATGTTGTAGAGGGAAGTAGCCAAATCAGGATGATTTGGAGGAAGGGTTTTTTGACGGATAACAAGTGCTTTTTCATGAAATGAAAGTGCTTTGGAGTATTCACCCGTCGTGTCATACACACCACCAATGTTGTTGTAGGAAGTAGCCAAACTAGGATGATTTGGTGGAAGACTTGTTTGTCGAATTTCGAGTGATTTTTCAAGAGATGAAAGTGCTTTAGGATAGTCTCCGATGTGTCGATACATCTCACCAATGTTGCAGAGGGAAGTAGCCAAATCAGGATGATTTGGAGGAAGGGTTTTTTGATGGATAACAAGTGCTTTTTCAAAAAACAAAAGTGCTTTCGAGTACTCTTCCATATTTTCATACACTACACCGATGTTGTTGTAGTAAGTGGCTAGCGAAGGATGATTTGCAGGAAGAATTTTTTGATGGATATCAAGTGCTTTTTTAAAAAACAAAAGTGCTTTCGAGTAGTCTCCCATGCTTAGATACACCTGACCGATGTTGTTGTAGGGAGTAGCAAAAGCAGGATGATTTGGAGGAAGAGTTTTTTGACAGGCTTCAACTGCTTTTTCATAAAACAAAAGTGCTTTCGGGTATTTCCCCATGTTGTAATACGCCAATCCGATGTTATTGTAGGACAGGCCCGACAAGGACTGATTTAAAAAACGATTTTTTTCTCGAATTTCAAGTGCTTTTTCGTAATTTTCAATAGCCTTCTCATAATCACCTTGATCATTCTTGATAGATCCAATATTATTAAGATAAACAGCTTGGTCACCTCCATCAGATGTCTGTTCGAGCAGTACTTTGTACAATTCTTCTGCTTTGCCAAATTGACCGATTTTCATTAGTAGTAAACCCGCTCGTTCCCATCCTGTTTCACCTGGAGTCTCCTGTCGTATACGATCGGTAAGAATGCAAAGTTGTTTGTCGTCATCGGAGGTAAGTTTAAGATCCACTTGATAAAGTGGTTTGTTGTTGTCAATTTTTGTGATGTCACCGATACGAAAGACGGTGTGCATGGAGAAGAGAATTTCTTCTTCTTCCTTGAAGTAACTCACATCCCGGATGCGGGCGAATGGAGCCGAGGAGACAGAAGGATCGATGGTCATTCGAAAGAGAATGCCGATTGTGTCAGTTTTTTTCAAAGCATGTACATCGTCAGCATAGCTGAGGGCCAGTTTTTGATTTCTGCTGGTAGACAAGAAATTGTTAAAAGATATAAGACCGCCTTTTGATTCGAGAAGTTTTTCAAAGTTCGCCTTGGAAAAAATCTTTCCGCGGTAAAGTGTAAAGCACTCTCCATGGTAATCATTGACCTGTTTTTTATGCAATTCGGCAATTTGTTGGTGAAGATCACGAAGAAAGAAGCCTATATTAATGATGGTGTTGGCTTCCAGTGTCCCAAGTGCTCGATTGAGCATTTTATAAATAAAGCACTCACGTGTATACCACCAGATGGATGATTGTGGACGATAATCACGTTCGAATTCATTGATAATTCTTAATTCATCCACATTGCCGTCGTAAAGTTTGCGGCAGTAATTTGCTAAGTCTTTAATAGATTTTTTTTCATCGTGTACCATTTCTAGAAGAATTTCCTTAAGTATTTGTGTATACATAAAAGAGGGCTCCAGTTGATCCAAATTCCGATTGGAAAACTCTTCATTCACCGTGAGAAAGCTCACGGGATCGACATCTTGATTGCACTGTTTGGCCGCCAGTTGCAGTGCTTCACATATGGGTGTAATTTGTGTATATACACCCTTAATTTTGGCCCATGCTTTTGTCCATTGTTCATGCGATGGTTCATTGCTACAGAGGATGTAGATGGCATCTACTTGTGACATGGCATGAATTTCAGCGAAAAAATGTTGATCTAATGATTCCGAAGCAATGATGAACGCTTTCTCGTCATGTATGTTGTTCAGGAATCGAATGCATCGGTCTAGCTCGGTGAAAAAGTGCACGTCATTCACGATGATTCGTAGTTGTGCAAGAGTATTTTGATAATCTTTGTTGGATTGATCAATATCCGTACCCACCCATATAAGTACAAAGTTTTGGACAATGCGTCGTCTCGCATGAAGACTATCAGACGATACTCTTGTTGGAATGGCTGCGTTTGTTGAAGGGGAAATCTTTTCTTTTGATGGCTGACAACCCATATCGTTGTAAACTGTTGCCTAACCGTTAATGTGAAACTGTCGGTAATTGATTACTGTTTAGACAGACAGACATCACATCGCGTATTTATATAGTCAATAGCTCACTTTTTAAAGATTTTACGACGAAGCAAATTGTTTTAATTTTTTGTTGACACTCAAGGACGAACTTCACTTAGTTTCTATTGAAAATACTGTCGTGAAGAACAAAGAAAAGTAACAAAAACAAATCGTTAGCAATCAACGAATGAAAAAGCTAACGACGTATTTTAGTATGTTATTATTCATGCGAACTTTCTCTTGCTTTCGTCTGCGCATTTGGCATTGTATCAATGCTTGAGAGGGTATGGATGGGTGTGGGTGTGGGTGG